ACTCATTGGTTGTAACATATCACTTGTCAGAACCTTTGTGATTGACTGTTCTCTACAAAAACATTTACTCAACAACTTTATCTTCACTTGAAATAACATGGAAATCTAAGACAGAACTTTTCACAGGATTTGATTCCTAAAAAATGCATACCCCTATGAAATCAGATTCATCAGAAAGCCTTGGTTTTAGCTGTTAGGTCTCATGGTGCATGTGAAGTCTAGGATGTAGTTACCTGTACTATGACTTCTGAAAGAGATATTATGGAAGTTGGTTTTGTTTTGTTTTAAAATCTATGATGTGTAAAATGTAGGAAGGAATGTGAAGATGTTAAACATTGTGATAGTGAATGGTGAAAAGTTGCTCAGTCTTGTCCGACTCTTTGCGACCTCATGAACTGTAACCTACCAGGCTTTTCCTCCATGGGATTTTCCAGGCAAGAATACTGGAGTGGGTTGCCATTTCCTTCTCCAGGAGATCTTCCCAACCCAGGGATTGAACCCGGGTCTCCCGCATTGTAGGTTTTACCGCTTTACTGTCTGAGTGAGCCACCAGGGGCTAACTTTAAGGATATGAATATAATACAAACATCAGGCAGACATCAGCTGTGATCTGACTTAGATTTATTTTTTATGGTCTAGTACTAGTATTAAAAATTGTAATTCTGCTTTCTAGGTTGTTAGTCTTGCAGAGTGTGCAGGAATACTGTAATGTGAATGCTGTTATGCACATATATTTACACCCTTATTTTAAAAATACTTTATTATGGAAAAGTTTAAAACTTCATTTTACCTGTTTTTGGAAGTCTTTACTTCTTTGTGTAATATCCAAGTTTGTCTCATGCTCTTCTGCCTAAATAACTTTAGCATGTTTTGTATTTCAGTTTGCTGCTGATAAATTCTCTTAGGTTTTGCTGAAAAAGTCTTCATTTCTGAGAGAGATTTTCTCTGGATATAAAATTCTGAGATGATAATGCATTTATTTTTTCTTTTTAATTCTTTCAGTAATTAAAAGATGTCATCCCATGTTTTTTTTTGCTTTGCACGATTTCTGATAAGAAGTTTGCTTAATCTTTGCTTTTTTTTTTTTTTAATCTTTGCTTCTTTGTTTACAATGTGCCCTTTCCTCCCTCTTGTTGCCATCAAAATGATGTCTCTGTATTTGGTTTTCAACATTTTGAATATAGTTTGTGTAGGGTATGTGTGTATACATGTGTGTGTTGTATTTATCCTGCTTGGAATTCTTTCAGCTTCTTGGATCTATGGTTTGATTTCTTATGTTATTTTTGGAAAATTCTGTCAGTATTTCTTCTAACATTTCCTCTGCTCCATTTACTCTTCTTCTGGGATTACAGTCACACACATTAGACCATTTGATATTATCCTATATTTCTTGGACGTTCTGTTCTGAGTTTTTAATTTTAATTTTCTTTTTTTGTGTGTTTCCCTTTGGGTAATTTCTGTTGACCTATCCTTGAATTTATTGAGCCTTTACTTGGCAGTGTTTAGTTTACTGATGAGCCTGACAAAGGCATTCTTCATCTCTGTTATCATGTTTTTTGTTTTTTAAGTGTTTTCTTAAATCTTTCTTATAGTTTCCACCTCTCTGCTAGAGTTTGAGGACTCAGGTTTCAGTAATGAATTTTCCACTTATTTTCCTTATTTCAGCAACTAAATAAGACCAAAGGAATCATACAGTCCAAGTCTTTAAGTGACCAAGGGAAAAGAGACTTGCTTGACTTGCTCAAGATCAACTTTGATCTTCAAAACAAAGGAACTAAATAAGACCAAAGGAATCATACAGTCCAAGTCTTTAAGTGACCAAGGGAAAAGAGACTTGCTTGACCTGCAAGATCAAGATCAAGATCTCTTGCAGGTCAAGCAAGTCTCTTTTCCCTTGGTCACTTAAAGACTTGGACTGTATGATTCCTTTGGGCTTATTTAGTTCCTGAAATGTAAGATTCTGTGAATGGGAAGAGACCTAACACTGATTGACAGCCTGTATTAACCTTATGCAGAATTTGAGAAAGGGATAAAAATCACATTTAAAAGTGCTTTTGAAAACATTTTACTTTTTCTAGATCTATGTGGATTTTAATTGGAAGAAACAGACAGCATTAAATCCAGTTACCACTTGGTTAAGTCTGTTAAAGAATCATTAAATTTTTTCAACTGTTGGGTTTCCTGACTCGCTTGAGAAATTTCATGGCTTATAAAACATATCACTTTTTCTCTGTGCATATAGAATTTTAAATTATTGGGTTGCAGTTTGCAGTGTGAGGAAGGTTTGCAGTGTGAGGAAAAACTAATGGAGGTATTTTTGCTCTTTACTGGCTAAGTGCAAAATGAATGATATTCTCACTGGATTTGGCTTTGTGGCCACAGACTTGGGTTCAGATCCCAATTGCACAGTTGTGAAACCTTCGTCTGATAATTTAACTTTTGGGCCTGAGTTTCTTAGCTGTGCAATAAGGATGATACCTGCATCAGAGAGCTATTTTAAAGGTAATGTGTATAAAGCTTTGGGTATAGTGCCTATTTAATAGTAATTAATAGCTGATAGCTTTAAAAATAGTAGCTACAATGTAAGATGGCCACCATTAAGTTGAAGTTTTATTAAATAGAAGGGGAAAAGTGAGTTTAATATTCTTTCTATTCTTTCAGTGAAGGGGTCCACCAGGTAAAGGGATATTTTAACAATAGGGAGAAGGTTAACTGAAAAGTGAGTATTGGTGAATAAGAATTATAACCAAGAGTTAGTGTTTACTATGTGATAGATGGTCACATTTAATCCTCAACATAGCCTATGAAATCAACTGCCCCTCCTGGAGAAGCTTTTCTTTATCTGAGTGAGGTTGACCACACCCTTTTTTTGTATTCTTCTGATCCACTTTGTACTCTGTGACTGTTTTTTATTTAACCCCTATCCTCTCTCCACTTCTCATCCTCAGTGAAAGGTTTTCTATGTATTTGGCCCAGACATTGCCCACAGTAAGTTGAGTTCTTGAGATATTGAATCATTGTGTTTTTCTGATCAAAATGAAATTGTACCATCTTTATGTTACGGGTGAAAATTCAGGCATTAAACGTGAATGTTGGTCTAAAGTAAAAAATTTTTAAAAAGTTGTAAATAAAGAGAATGCTCAATTAGACTTGTTCCTCCTCCTTCCCTTAATACATACTATTTGTTAAGATAAGCAAACGTAGTATTTCAAAGTAGCCCTTGTTCTGGAAATCACCTTAGAGTAAATGTAATGAATTTCAAAGAGGTGTCCAAATTCTGTGTGTGTAAGTAATTTTACTGTAATGGATATTATTCAAGATTGAAATTATTTAATACAAAGAAACATTCTTTTTCATACTGGAAGCAACTGTCTTCCAAAACGCAGCCCACAATACTGGCATTCTTATTGGAATAACACTGGGAATAATGTCAAATTATTTTTGCAGGTTTTTTTTTTTTTTTTTGGTTATTGCACGAGTTTTCACAAAATTGTATTTCTGATCATAGATTTTTCGAACTGGAAGGAACCTAGGAGATTTAATCTCACTTCTTCCTGCCACCCAGAGAGATGAAGTGATTTATCTAAAATTGTTTAGCTACCTAATGACAGAGCTAAGGAGAAGACAGAGTCCTTTATCCATTCGACATAGTGCTACATTCCTCTGGAAAAAACTGCCTACTCCCTCTTGGTTTTTAATGCTAGTTAGAGTCTGAGGGTAAGGTTTTTTCCCATGACTAACTAGTGCTCTTTTGTTTTCTTGTGTGGGTGTTTGGGAACAAGCTATTAAGGGTGGTGGGGTTTTTGTTGTTGCTGTTGAACAACTCAGAGTCTAAGGCACTGAAAAGGCATTCGTCTGGTTTGCATTTAGGGGTCAGGAAGGAGTGGTTGTAGCTCCAAATTTTTGCTCTTAACATCAATAGGCAGATGTTTTGAAGTTGAGTTTTGTAACCTAGGGTCTGAATTCCCTAAACTTTTTGAGAAAATTATGCAGCTACATGCTTTTCTCCTAAGCAAAGGATCTGTAGCTTTCATCAGTTTGTCAAAGTTAAAAATTATTTTTTTTAGATGGAGGAAAAGCTAAGCAAACTTAATTGAGAACTGTGTCCCCACTCTTTTTTTTTTAGGTTTTTTTTTTTGTTTTCTTTTTTTTAATTAAAAATTTTTAGTATTTATTTTGGCTGCACTGGTTCTTTTTTGGAACAGTTCGGGCTTCTCTAATTGTGGCATATGGGCTTAACTGTGGTATGTAGAATCTTAGTTCCCCAACCAGGGATGGAACCCAGGTCCCCTGCATTGAAGGCATGAAGTCTTATCCACGGAAGTCCCTGGGTCCTCATTCTTGAACTCTAAATACTAATTATACTAGAGGGTTCCCTTATCTCCAGCCTCCTTCTGCTAGTGTCCTTCCTTCTGACAAGCCTTCTAGATTGCTTCCTGTATCTTGTCATGGAAACCACTGGAGGCCCTAGCCTTCTTTTTGCAGAACTTTTTCCATAAGTTTCCCAAGCCTTCAATAGAAATTAATTTTATTCAACTTCCTTCCTAGAAGAGAACATGTAGAAAAGCATGTTCTACATTTTTAAGTCTGGCAAAAGTCACACAAAGAAAAAGCTACCACTAAGGCTGACGTTGGAAGAATTTGTTTATTCATTTTAAAAAGTCTGTACTGACCACATACCACGAACCCTCAGGCATTGTGTTAGATGCTGGGAAATGATCAGTGGTCCTTCTCATGCAAAGCTCACATTCTCCTAGGGACACATCTCAGTGGTAGTAATTGAGCATGCTAACTGCTCTAATAGAGGTACCAACAAAGCACTGAAATCAATCCTGGCCAGGAAGAGAGATGGGTATTAGGGTAAAATTCACAGAAAACTGACAAATATTTGAGTTGCATGTTAAAGGTTCAGGGTTTTATATATCAGTGGTATGTTTGTGCTTTCCTCACTTCAACTAAAATTCACATTTACCACTCTATTATTTTGTCTTTTCAATTAGAGCTCCAAGCGAGAATGGAAGCCACTGGAGGACCGTAGCTGCACAGACATACCGTGGCTGCTGCTTTTCATCCTCTTCTGCATTGGGATGGTAAGAAGCTCACAGATCCTCAGAACATGAACCCATGATTCAAGGGGATGATGGGGAGTTGGTTTGAAGAGGGAACTTGTTATTTAGATATTTATTTATATTTGTAAATGAATAATCCCTCTTGAATTGCTTATAACTGGAAGTTCTAGGATACCATAGAATTAGGTTATTTTTTTTTCCCATACAGTTAAGTGGTATTGGTACCCCTTGACTTTCTTTTCTTTTCTTTTTGGTTTGCATGAGAATTGAGATCAAAATTAAGAGATAATTGAAACTCTCTCTTTGACTAGATCATTTCAGAAAGCCAGAAAGCCTTTGACATAAATATCCATGAACTCTTTAAGCTTGATGCAGGTGGTGAGCAGAGCAGTGGTCATGAAATCGAGTCCTGAGTGTTTATTCAACCCAGTCACACAGACCTGATGGTTATTTTTTTTGCCAGTCAGTTTCTTTCAGGGCCTTGGTATGCCTTTCTATGAGATTAGAGGTTTTGCTAGATGATACCTACAGTGCTCCCTGTTGTGACATTTTTTTAAATTCTTCTTAGAGGGGCGGCTGGTTGCTCCCTGCTTCTTCCTCCTTCTACCCATAGTAGGCTCCTGCTGCCTGCTGTGCCTATGAGACTAAGTGGCATTTCTCAGTTGGGGATCACGGGAGCTGGTGATTTTCCAATGGATATGGAGGATGGATGAGCGGAGTCCCCGGTGCAAAGTGTTGGGGCTGTGTTTATTCAAATTGCATCCCCAGTCTGCCCTGCAGGAGTTTCCACACAGGCTTCAGGGACTTTAGTGTCACTGACGGTGTACTGGGCTGGACAAGTAGAAAGCAGCCCTTTTAGAGCTAGCTGATATTTCAAGCTAGAAAGCACTTAGAAATCCTCATCTGGTCCATCACCCTCATTACACACATCAAGAACATGAGACCACAGAGATGAAAGTGACCATCTCGAGGCCACACTACTAGTTAACGGCTGAGCTGGGAACAGAGCCCCGTCTCTTACCTTCCAGGCCAGTGCTCTTTTCTGTCACCTTGTTTCTCCCTTGAGGGAATTGCGCAGACAGTATTGTTCTCTCTTTCTTAGTCTTTGCAACTTGAAACACAATTATGCTACCTTCAGTTCAGTTCAGTTCAGTTCAGTCGCTCAGTCATGTCTGACTCTTTGCAACCCTACAGACTGCAGCATGCCAGGCTTCCCTGTCCATCAGCAACTCCCGAAGCTTGCTCAAACTCATGTCCATCAAGTCAGTGATGCCACCCAACCATCCATCTCATCCTCTGTTGTCCCCTTCTCCCGCCTTCAATCTTTCCCAGCATCAGGGTCTTTTCAAATGAGTCAGCTCTTCGCATCAGGTGGCCAAAGTATTGGAGTTTCAGCTTCAGCATCAGCCCTTCCGGTGAACATTCAGGACTGATTTCCATTAGGATGGACTGGTTGGATCTCCTTGCAGTCCAAGGGAAGGGACTCTCAAGAGTTTTCTCCAACACCACAGTTCAAAAGCATCAATTCTTCAGTGCTCAGCTTTCATTATAGTACAACTCTCACATCCATAGTGACTACTGGAAAAACCATAGCTTTGACTAGACGGACCTTTGTTGGCAAAGTAATGTCTCTGCTTTTTAATATGCTGTCTAGGTTGGTCATAGTTTTTCTTCCAAGGAGCAAGCATCTTTTAATTTCATGGTTGCAGTCACCATCTGCAGTGATTTTGGAGCCCCCCAAAATGAAGTCTGTCACTCTTTCCATTGTTTCCCCAGCTATTTGCCATGAAGTGATGGGGCCAGATGCCATGATCTACTACCTTTGGCATGCTTTTTTTCCCCCACTCAAGTGTGACTGTATTTAATCTTTTCCCCATACCTTTTTTTTTTTTAAGAAATCTTATTATTTTTCATTATTACTACTTTTTAGGTAATCTTATTCTGTGTCTCTCTGCAGCTGCCCACCTCACAAACATCCTTTGAGAATTACAGAACAACCCTTTTCATGACTAATGAGCAGAAGTGTGGACACCAGTCCAGCTTCTGAACCAAGGAAAAGAAAACAGGGAACTTTGATGAGATGTAACACAGTCAGTAAAATAAAGAGTGTTAGTTTTAAAAATAATAGATGGCTCAGTTTCACCAAATCTAGGATATATAGAAAATATCAGAATTACTCATTTCCTGACTTAGAACTTGTAAGATATTGTTTAAGAGTCTACTTAGTTTAATGAAGTAGAAACTGAAATGTAGCACCCAGGGATGGAGGAGACATTCTTTGCTAACAGAACTGGTCCACAACCTCTCCCTGCCTCCTGAGTTTCACTCTGAGACAAATAGCAGCTGACCTTTCAAAATTATGTTTATAAAAATATGTACCTACCTCCCAGAGTGCTTTTGATTTTCTGTGCTAAAATAGCTCAGGAAAGTGCAATCACTAGTGTTAATAGGCTGACTTGGGAGTGACTGGAGAGTCAGGAACTATTTGTTTACGGAAATGTTTTAATGCAGTGGTAATTAATATAATGTTGATTTCAGTGTGGTGGTAATTAAGACCCACTGTGTGTACTTTTAAATGCAGGCATAGTGTTATTTGCTTTTGAATGTTTCTTTTTGTGGATTACCATTCCTTGGAGTAGAGCTAACATCAAATATTACCACGTGGAAACTGGAGAAATCTCAAAGTTCTGCCCACCTTACTGGCACAACAGTAGACAGTTTTTTTTTTGTCTTCTGAATATTTGTTTTGTATGTTTTTGGTGATGGCGGTTTAGTCACTAAGCCTTGTCTAACTCTTGTGACCCTGTTGACTGTAACTCGCCAGGCTCCTCTGGCCATGGGATTTCCCAGGCAAGAATACTGGAGTAGGTTGCCATTTCCTTTTCCAGGGGATCTTCCCCACCCAGGGATGGAACACAGGTTTCCTGCATTGCAGGTGGTCTCCTGCATTGCAGATGAGTTATTTACCGACTGAGTCACCAGGGAAGCCTTGTATGTTTTTTAAGAGTTGCATTTCATTTTTGTCTTTAGATTTCATTCTGTAGTACCTTTAAGAGAAACATTCAACAAATATTTTTTGAGCATTATCATGGGCTTGATGCTATCATATATATATTTATCTCACTAAATTCTCCCAATTACCCTATAAAATGAGTTTTATCCCCAGTTTACAGGCAAAGTATAGTGAACATTAGCTTATGTAAGAATATACTGCTGCCCATGAGAGGCAAAAATAGAAAAGGAACTAGAATTTTCTGCCTATATTCTTTTCATTTAGTGGCCAGTTGCTTCTGCTTTTATAGGCATTTTCTTTCTCAATCCTCTTACAGCCTATCATTCAAACCGTATCTTTACTCACTGCTCTTACTTGCAGGTCTTTGCTCACTCCTTGGTACCTACTCTCTAGTTCTGAAATATTTTAAGATCTTGTCATCTTTCACTCATCTTCACCACTAAATCTTTTTATTTACACATATTCATCTCATCATAAATACGTGTACTTCTCTTTTGTTTCTTCTCTTACTTTTAAGATATTTTCCATGCTTGAATTGTCTAGAACTTAGGATATTTTTTAAAGTAAATTTCTGTTAGTCTTTGTTATCATCTCCTAGATTGGCGCTTATTCAGTATTTTGAAATTATTGAATATATGCTTACCCTGTTCTAAAAAATTACATGTTGAATTGTACCTCTTAATTTTTATTTTCCATTAAGGTAGTAAACAAGTGGTTCTCAACACTAACTGCATATTAGAATTTGCTGGGATTAAAATAAAAAATACTCATTTCTGGGCCCCACCCCGTTGAATCTGATTTAATCTCTTTGATTCTAATATTCAGCCAGGGTTGAGACCCACTGTTGTAGGCACTGACAGACTATTGCAGTTTTAAGCAATAAATGATATGATTGGGTTTAGAAAGATGGCCCTGGTAGCCAGTGTAAATGTAAAGTCATTGTAAAGGGGGAAGAGATTTCAGGCCACCACTTTGGAGGCTGATGCAGTGGTTCAGATGAGTCCAAATAACAGGTGAAAAACCTGAAATAAAGAAGTAGCAAAAGAGGGCAGGAGACAGACAGAAGAAGTGGGATCAGTAATGTTTGATGTCATAGTGTTGCAGGCAAGTGGGATGGCTAAGGGATTCTTGTGTTACGGGTTCAGTATAAGCTTTTTTTAGCTCAGATCCTACCCCAGCTCCTTGTAGGTTCCAAACCACAGTTTCTGTGCACATGAAGGAACAAGAGTAGGATGGAGAAACAAAGCGCAACTCTTAGTAGCCAAGCAGTCACTTGATTACCAGTAAAGGATTCCTCGATAAGCATGGCTTGTGCAATGAAGCTTGGGCCACGTGAGCTCAAGGTTCTTCCCACCTTGGTTAGGCTGACTTCATTCTGTCCCAAGGAGAGGTATATGTGAAAAGAGGAGAGAAAAGAGATTCACTTGGGCCAAATCTGCCCAGATCATCGTACCACAAAAGTCAGGATAAAGAGGAAGCTGGGGCTCCCCTAGTGTCTCAGTCGTGAGGAATCAGCCTGCCAGTACTGGAGATGCAGGTTCCATCCCTGATCTGGGAAGATCCCACATGCTACAGAGCAGCTAAGCCCATGTGCTACAACTACTGAGCCCACGTGCCTCAACTACTGAAGCCCACATGCCCTAGAGCCTGTGTTCCACAACAAGAAAAGCTACTTCAATGAGAAGCCCGAGCATCACAACTGGAAATTAGTGCCTGTTTTCCAAAACTAGAGAAAAGCCCTCACAGCAATGAAGACCCAGCACAGCCAAAAATAAATAAATAAAAAAATATATATATATATATGTGTGTGTGTGTGTATATATATATATATAAAAGAGGAGGGTCCTAAAAGGAGTACATACTTTAAAAGACAGAAGATACAGACAACTCATACAACTTATTCCTAATCATTATTGCTGCTTACTATGGACTGGGTACTCTTCTCTGCACTCAACACAGATTTAATTTTCACAACTGCTCAATGCTACTCTGGTTATCATCCTTCCCATTTTATAGATAAGGGGGCACAGGAATATGTTAAATAACTTGTCTAAGATTACATGGTGGCAGCATTGAACCCAGGAGAGAAGAGGAAGAAGGTAAGGCCTCGAGTGACAGTCCCTTCTCTGTTGCCTGGAGTTGGGAACAACAGAAGCTGCTGCTGAGAACATGAACCTGTAGAAGACAGTAACCTCACCTGCCAGTTAAGTGTTGTCTCCTCAATATTTCAGACTCTTTGAGCAAAGAGTTTATCACTACTGCTTCCTCTCGTGCAGAGTTAGAAAGCAAGAGTCCTCTCCCTCTGTATCTTAGCAGTCTAGTCAGAAATGGTGCTTCTAATGGAGATGGGGCGTATGCCGGAAGGGAAAGTGGTTTGGGGAAATGGGGAAGGAACTGAGTTGTGGACTTGTAGGGTGTGTGGGCAGAGAGAAGCAGTTAGAAATAGAGAGTTGGAATTTTGAAGAGCGATCTGGACTAGAGCTGAATGTCAGGGCCGTTGTTGCACAGGTCGTCCCTTCAGACTGCTTTCAGGGGCCTTTTATTTTATAGTCTTAGACTAGTGCCTGGAGCGCAGTGTTGCTACCTCGTTAACTACTGTGGAGCAGGCAGCACAAAGGGAAAGAGTCAAAGACTCACTGAAGTATTTAGTCACCTGTGTGATGGGCTATGCTTTGCCAGGATCATAGAATAGGAAGAACAGCATGCCAGAAACTACCTTAAGGTCACCTGATCCAAATGACTGCCTGCTTTCTGTTAGATCCTCTGGATTTTCTTTTTTTTTATTATTGTGGTAAAGTATACATAACTTCGTTTTCCCTGGTAGCTCAGCGGTGAAGAATCCACTTCTATTGCAGGAGACAGGAGGCGTCAGTTCCGTCCCTGGGTTGGAAAGATCCCCTGGCGAAGGAAATGACAACCCACTCCAGTATTCTTGCCTGGAAAATCCCATGGACAGAGGAGCCTGGCAGGCTACAGTCCATGGGGTTGCAAAAGAGTCAGACACCACTGAGCAACTGAGCGCGCGCACACACATACATACATACATAACTTAAAATTTATTATTTTGACTATTTTTAAATGTACAGTTAAGTCCATTTACTTTTAATCTACTCTTCTTCGCCACCCCCACATACTACATGTTTAGTCATTACAGTGGATCGGAGGGCCCATAACTTCTCCCTGAAAGTGTAGCCTAAAAATGTTTACTCTGTTTCGATGAATAGTTTTCCTTAGAATCATAAAATTTTGGAATTGGAAAGGACTTTTGAGATTAATCTAATTCATTCCTAGTGACAGGTAAAGAGACTGAGGCTCAGAGAATTTAAAATGATATAGTGACTTACCTGGGGTCATGAGTATTTGCAGCTGGTTTCAGTTCTCAGTATATATTCTTTGTTTATGTTTTCTTAATTGCTCAGGCTGCCCATGAAATAGCCTCTCTGATTTTCACTCCCTCATGCCCCATTATTATTTTTTTCTTTTGAGAACATCTCAGTTCTTTCAGGGTGAACTTGATATTTCCTAGACTTCCAACCATTCTTGTTTTTTCCTTCTTCCCTCTTTCTTAGAGTAATATATCCCATTAAACCTTAAAGAAATCCCCAAATCTGGCAGATTGCCAAAGCTTTTAAATTTATTTTTGAAATTTGTTTGCATAAGTATTAGTTCTGCATCAGACTTTCTAATCCTATGCTGTTTGCTGGGTCCTAATAGCTTCTTGGTCTCAGGGTTCTTGGAACAGGAGGAACAGAGGCCAAGTGTTACTCTAAGGTTTGACAAGTTAGTTACTAGCGGACTGACTCCAGGTGTTGTTTGAGGTAAGAAAGGTAGTCTTTGAGAGAAAATTCTGGATATATTTTCATTAATCCCTGGGAGAAGGCTGTAAGCCTAAAGTCTTGATCTTGAAACACAATGCCATATTCATACTCCCCACCCCTCATGCATGTTTTGTTGACTTTTTTTTTTTTCTTCAGAGCAAAGCTAGGACCTCTGCCTTGCTCAGTGGCATGGTAAAGGCTCCATGTGTGAAATTCAAACATTGCTTGTGAAATGAAACGTGTCCTTTTTTTTGACTAAGAGTGAGTGAAACTAAGCCAAAACTCTTACTTAAGTTGAACGAAGCTTGTGATGTGAAGGGGAAATGAACACAGTCCATTAATTAGCAAATTGTTTTTCTCCCACGTAGGCAAGAGGCACTTATTAGTTGCCAGATCTTGCCTGTGATCTGCCATCCCTGGTTTCTTCATCTGATTTGAGTCGCCTCCTATTTGTGATTAGATTCGTCTGCTCCTCACTCTCTCTTGAAATAGCAGTTCTGAAAGCACTTCAGTAGTTCAGTCATTTTAAAATTTTAACCATGATTCTATTCCTTGTGAAAAGACTTCCTTTCTCTCTAGTGATTGCTCCCTACTATAGGTGTATAAAAGCTTTCCTTATCCCCCTTACAACTTGCTTCATTAATGTGATTTCCTTCTGCTAAATAATACCCCATCTGCCTCCTGGAGCCATTGAATTATAGAGTATGTTCTGTAAAGTTTCTCTCACTCTATTTTAATTTCATGTACATTTTTTCTCATCTGAAACTATATTGCTTCCTGCATTTGGATTTCATGATTTTTTAAAACAAGGAGATTGTCTTTTTAATTATATTTGGCCTAGCTCTCTGTTGTTACTGCTTGTGCCATATGGGGCATCTCCAGGATAACAGTCATGGTCTCTCTCTCTCTCATTAGCTTCCTATTCCCCTTTCCCTCCTACAGCGTCTCATCCTCTCCACTCTAATGCTTTGGGAAGCTACTAAGAAGTTTAGATGGCCCATGTGAAAATGTGTCAGTGTCCCATTTTACCATATATATGAAACATTTATAATTTATACTCTGCCTACATCCTAGAAGGATATGAGGTGGTCTATAACTACAAAACACAAACACACACATGCACAAAAGCACACATGTGTACATTTCCAACAGTGATGTTAAAAATAGTCATAAAAGGACTTCAGAAACGATTGAAGGCCGTCTGTAACACAAAGTACTTATCAAACATAAGAACGTTTCTATAAAAAGTGAAAGAAGAACATAACCTTTTAATTATGCAAGGACTTTGCTATTTTAGACTAGTAGCGAAAGAAGATGGTAATTGTGGTCTGAATGTTTCTCTGTAATGACAAAATCACTGACAATATTTCTCACTTCCCCCAACCCCCTAGAAAATTTTTTTCCAAAATTTAGAACTGAAGGGATTTTTGGTTAATCTGCAATTACTGTTATTAACTTCTTTAGTCTGACTTTTTCATTAGCAGCTACAATATATTGTCTACCTGCTGTGTACAGACCCAGCTAAAAGTTAGAGATGCATTATCTCATGGAGGCCCCATCGTTTGGCTGTGAAATAGTTGATATTACTTTTTGCCAGAGATGAGGAGGAAACAGTCTAAGAAGGTAAACGGATCAAGGTTATATAGGTTGTAAATGGAAGAGTGAGGGTTTGAATCCAGATCTTTCTGCATCCTCTTTCTATTACTCTATGATGTTTCTTGTTAAAGAACTATATTGGAAAGGTTAGCCATTATTAACCTTAGTATCTTTTGTTAAAGATAACAGAAACTCAATCTTTTAGTGACCGCATTGCAAGAATATATCTTAACCTCTGTGTTTTCTCTCATTTCAGTTTATTAATAGTGACTCACCTTATTTCCTGTTCTTATGCCCAGTAGCCTACAGTTGAGTGTAGGGTTTATTGCTTTGCTTTGATCAATGCATCCTTGACTTGGCAAGCATGATGCAGTTCTGAAGCGAGTACCATTTGCTATTGGCACTGTGGTGAAGCATATCCCCACGAAATGAAGTGACCTCTGTGTCACATGGACCCAGGGCCTTGCTGTCCTTGAGTCTCCAATATTCAGAGCATGAATGTACTTCACCATATAATTCTTTGGCTTCTACACAACTTTATTGCAGGAAGAAAACAGAAGTGTTGTGTGTACTGAAGTGATAATTCAAAACCCACATACCTATTGTTCTTTGAATTTTTGTCTTTCATCTCTTGCTATTCTTCATTTAATAGAACTCTTTGACAACCAAATAAAACTAAAGAATGGGGACTTCCCTGGTGGTCCAGGGCTAAGACTCTGAACTCCCAATGCAGGGGGCCCAGGCTTCAATTCCTGGTCAGGGAACTAGATCCCACATGCTACAACGAAGATCCGGTATAGTCAGATAAATAAATATTTTTTTAAAAAGTTTAAAGAATGAAGAAAGCTAGGTTTGAGTCTTATGCCCTGATTTTTACTAGCTTCTATGGCCTTGGATGACTTATTTACCCTCTCTGGGCCTCAGTTTCCCCATCATGAGGACTAGAGATAATGTATGGTGAGTAGCTGGTACAGTTCCTGGCATCAAGCAGATGTTCAGTACAAAGAAGCTGCTATTATTATTATTATAAAATGCAAAGACACACTTATGATGTAAAAGCTTGAGATTTGTTTTGTTATTGTAGTAAATAGTGTTTCCCTGTGGACTTCTTTGTACAGCTTATGTGAAACTCAAGGAAAACAGTGGAATAGTGTTTGCAATAAGGAAAGAGAGCTCTTTGTTCCCTTCAGAGGACAAAAGAAGCTCATTATCGTATCAAGTAGTGGCTGTTGCTATCGAAATGGTTTATTTGTATGTTTTTTTCTGTTTTTTTCCCCTAGGGATTTATTTGTGGCTTTTCAGTAGCAACAGGTGCAGCAGCAAGACTAGTATCAGGATACGACAGCTTTGGAAATGTCTGTGGGCAGAAAAATGCAGAGTCGGAATTATTTCCACTCAGTGGCATGGACCACACCCATCGGAAGTGAGTAGACTGGCTGAATGCTGAACGTTGTGGGAACTTGAAAGGGGAGGGGGCGTCCTGCTTTTCTTACTGTTACAAAGATAATATCTTACTGAAGATTATTTTTATATGCTTTCTGTTGGGTTTTTTTTTTTAACTGTCCACTTGAATCATTTCTGGTTTTGGTCTATAAATACATTTACCAGGAAACAAAATTAGGTGCCCTGTTAAAATGGCCTACCTTGAGGTTTTAATGAGTAAATGCGTGATTTGAGAGAGTTACTCTTGTGCTCGCACTCTGTTTTCCCATTAGCCTCTAGGCTGTACATGAAGTTTTAACCCAGAAAACAATATAATATTTTTCTTCCTAAGACTACTTGATGGCAGGTAGAGGGATAATGGATTTTGACACTGTAGAGTTATAGTGAAACATTTTGTGGTGCTTCATTTATAAGTACACACTTATTTCCAATTTTATAAAAGATATATTTCCTTTGTCAGACTTTGAAATTTCTTTTGGGTTTTCAAGGTTCAGGTTTTGGATTTCTTGAAATTCCTGACTTCATCACCTCTTCTCTTCAAAAGAGCTATTATTTCATTTTTACTGTCTATGGGGGAAAAGATATCAAATGTATTGCATGTATGATGTCAATATATTTGTTCAAACTATGTATTTATGCCCATCAAACTTTATTAGAAATGGCATCCCACTCCAGTATTCTTGCCTGGAGAATCCCATGGATGGAGGAGCCTGGTGGGCTACAGTCCACGGGGTCACAAAGAGTTGGACTCGACTGAGTAACTTAACTTAATAAATAGACAGGTGTTTAGAATTAAACTAATTTTAAGGTTAGCCAATTCCATTAGTGAATTTTATAGGAGAAGGCTAATGCAAATAAAAACATTTTTTTAGACTGTAGTTCTATAATATTTGGAGAGATATAATAACTCTATTTATTGTTAGATAAATATGTTGGTTAAATCTGGGCCCCTGCTAAAGTAGATTAATTTGATAAATTGAAAAACTTGAAAAAATCCAAATAGTTAATCTTAAGAGATATTTCTCCATTTAATGAAGGAATAATGCAATTCAAATAAAGAATTTTAAATAGCAATAATGAATATTTGTATAGAATGCAATAGTCAAGAAGTATATGATACCAACCTGTGGGATGGGGTAGCAAAGGCTTAGAGAGATTGAGATGACCTCCCCAGAAGTCTGATGGGCAGTGGACTGTCCAAGACAGACCGTGAGCTTTTCTTTTGACAGAAGTGAAAATTGAACTTGAGAGCGTAATTTGGAGGATTATTTCATTTGTCTTTCTTTTTGATTGCTTTATGAAATTAACACAAATTTTAGGCTTTGTGTTACTTACTGTAGCAAGTCTACCCATGTATTTTGTTTTTACTTCTCATTTTGGAACACTTTTAGACTCACAGAGAAGTGCAAAAATAGTAGAGTTTTGCATATCTTTTTTTTTCTTTTGAAGGTAGTGTCAAATATTATATACTCTTTAATGCTGGTGACATGTACCAAACATAAGATATTACCATTTGGGTAATTGAGGAGACAGGAGAAAAAGAACTCTAGTTCCTTGGGTTTACTGCTCACATGAGGTCATAATCATTTTTATGGCTCCCTTTTAACTTGCTAGTAACTTCAAGCATGTTCTTATCATAAAGTTTGTGTAATTGTCAGTTCATCCTTAACCTTTTGGAGGTTCATTTGGTTAATTTTTAAGAAATATTTTATTTTATATTGGAGTATAAATGAGTAGGAGGCACAGGAGATGTGGGAAGAGCCCTGGAGGAGGAAATGGAAATCTACCCCAGTATTCTTGCCTAGAAAATTCCACGGAGAGAGGAGCCTGATGGGCTACAGTGTATGGGGTCGCAAAGAGTCAGACACAGTTGAACGCACACGCACACACACACACACACATTCACACAGATGATTAACATTTTTGTGTTAGTTTCAGGTGTATAGCAAAGTGATTGTTATACATCGACCTGTATCTATTCTTTTTCAGATTCTTTTCCCATTTAGATTGTTATATAATACTGAGCAGAGTTCCCTGTGCTATACAGTAGATCCTTGTTGGTTATCCATCCTAAATATAGCAGTGTGTACATGTCAATCCCAAACTCAGTTTTTAATTTCAAATCCTCAGATTATTCTGTGTACATTTTGGCCTCTTGCAAAGAAAGCCTGCTTATTATTCTGAAAAAAAATGGTTCGTTTTCCCTGAGTGCTTAGCATAGTTGGGACATACTCATGGATAGCTATAATAGGGTAATCCCTCAAGTATAGCAATGCCTTAACTTATGTATCCATGTTAAAATTTATTTTTGATCTCTACTTCTTCTTTGCCCATGAGCATTTTAGCCCTGAGCCATTTAAGTATTTCCATCTATGAAAGTGAAAGTGATGGTCGTTCATCATGTCCACTCTTTGCAACCCCATGGACTGTAGCCTGTCAGGCTCCTATGTCCATGGAATTCTCTGGGCAAGAATATTGGAGTGGGTAGCCATTGCCTTCTCTAGGAGATCTTCCTAACCCAGGGATTGAACCTGGATCTCCTGCATTGTAGGCAGATTCTTTACCATCTGAGCAACCAGGGAAGCCTATTTCTATCTATAAATGGTAATTTTATAAATGAATGGTACAGTTTTGAATGTAGTTTCTAAGGTAAGTCTATACTATTTGGATTTGGAAGGAGATAGACAGTCTTTGTGTTTATGAGAGTCCCTTGGACTGCAAGGAGATCCAACCAGTCAATCCTAAAGGAAATCAGTCCTGAATATTCATTGGAAGGACTGATGCTGAAGCTGAAACTCCAATACTTTGGCCACCTGATGCAAAGAACTGACTCATTTGAAAAGACTCTGGGAAAGATTGAAGGTGGGAGGAGAAGGGGACGACAGAGGATGAGATGGTTGGATGGCATCACCGACTCAGTGGACATGAGTTTGAGTAAACTCCAGAAGTTGGTGATAGACAGGGAGGCCTGAGCGTGCTGCAGTCCATGGGGTCGCAAAGAGTCAGAGACGACTGAGCGACTGAACTGAACTGTACTGAACTGAACCTATACTCCATTCTCTCTCTCTGTTTTTTTTTCTGCCAAGTATATTGATTTTCTCCTTTTTCACACATACATCTTTGGCTTTATTATAAATACCACACCTTTCCATTCCTACAGGATTTTTTATACCTGATTTGTCTTGACCTTGATCATTTTCTCCCATCCCTTATCCTTAGCACCTAGTACCTGATACTTACTAGGGCCTCTATACATTGTTGTTAAATAGGTTAATGAATGAATCCTCTAAGATATTAAATACAGCTAACTTTCTTGCCTTCATGAATGTTGTTTTTTTTCCCTATCAGAAAAAAAAAATCCTCCTATTCTTCATGTGGCTAAATGCTATTCATCTTTCAGATCTCAGTATAAATGTTACTTCCCAGAAAGGAATTTTTTAAGCTAGTAATTTAAGTTCCACTGTGCCCTGTAATATGTGTAATTATACATTTATTTCATCCTTATTTGTTAAATGTTTGTCTCTTCTAAGTTTCATGAAAGCAGAGGTGAGGTCTGTTTTGTTCATGGCCATTTCCTCTGTACCTGGAATGTAGTAGACACTCAAATGTTTGTTGGATGGGTAAATAAACATTTATTTTTTAATATGTTCTCAGTGAATTAGAGTCTGAGGATCTGGGTATCTTAAGGTTATTCATGCATTTTGCTGACTGTCTTTCCATAAATTCTCTTCTGTTTACATTCCCACTGACAGTGTCTGAGATTGCTTTATCTTTGCTAGTATTATTAGTTTTTGTACAAATTTGATTCAACCACAGAATGATATTTTATAGTTTTAATTTGCATGCCTTTGACTATTCATGAGTGTGAAACCACCCCCCACTCCCACCCCCCATATGTTTGTTGGCCTCTCCTGAAGACTGTTATGCCAGCACATCTATTCTTGGTCTTCTTATCTCTAATCCTCTCCATCCTTTATACGGTGATAGGATTAAGTTCTTTAAAGCCCCTTTTACTGTCATTTCCCTGCTCAAGAGCCTTTCCTTTTGTATTGTTACCTATTGAAAATGAGCCCACTCAGCCCTGGCGTGACCTCGACCCCATGTACCCCTGCAGTCTCCCCTCACTGTTTCTCATTGCAGTGGTGCCTCTGTCCATGATACTCAGCTGATTCAGCCTCTGTGCTGTGTCTCTATCTCTCTGCCAGTCTGAATTCTTGAAAGAACGTGGGACTTACACCCTCTCTATGGAATATTTCAAAGCTACCTTTATCCCAGAACTTTATATTGGATTTCTGTTGCCTTTAAGTTGTTGTCTAATTATATTATGCTACTCATCTGCCTATATTAATGATCAGTTGCTAGGTAACAATATTTCCGTAAACAGAATGGCTTACAACAGGAGACACTTAACTATGTCACAGTTCCTGTGGGTCAGGAATCTGGGTGCGGCTTAGCTGGACTCTTGCTTCAGTCTTTTACGCGATTGTCACAAGGTGTTGATTAGAGCTGGGGTTCTCCTGGGGAAGTTCCCTACCAAGGTCAGCTGGCTGTTGGCAGCACGCACTCCTCGATGATTGTTAAACCGAGAGCCTTAACTCTTTACTGGCTATCAGCCTAAGGCCACCTTCAGCACTTGCTACATGGGCCTCTGCATATGGCAGCTTACTTCAAAGACAACAGGAGAGGGTGTCGATACAGAGAGATACAGATACAGAGAGTCTGTTAGTAAGATGGAAGTTACAATATTATGTAATGTAACTGTGCAAGTGTTAACTCCTCACCTTTGCCATATTCTACTGGTTAGAAGCAAGTCACAGGCCCCACCCAAATTTAACGGGAGGATTCTGAATTATAGGAGGTAGGACCCTAATTAAGGGCATCTCAGAGTCTGAAAGCCACACTGCCCAACTCTGTCTCCCTGGAGCACCATGCTTTGTATGACTCCCAAATTTTAGTACCCAAGAGTTATCTCATCGGGGC